CCTTATTGTTCAGAGCCTGCATCTCCACCCAGATGACTTGCCTCGTGTTCTGGTTCCTCTGAGACCACGGCCATGTGCTGCTTTATTCACTCTTGAGCAGCAGGGTCCTCTGTCAGGCCTGAGGAAGCACAGGTCGCTTCTTCCCGGGTCCCTCCTGCCGGTGGCTATACCCACCCAACCCCTTGCTGTCGGTTTCCACTGTCTCCACCATCTGCTCAGGCCTTGTCCTCCTAGCACTGGACAACCCCCCAAGCAACTGCCCGTCCCTAGGAGGAACCTGTCTGGTTTCTGGATTCTGGCCCCTGTGTGTGTGGTCTGATGGGCCCCACTGCCCATCAAACTCTCAGTGCTTGCTTTTACCCCATGAGATTTTAGATACGCAGATGCCTGAATTTCATCTAGATTACTTAAAACAAACTTCCCAGAGGTATGCCCAGGATACTGGCATTTAAAAGAATTCTCCAGATAAGTCTCATTTGTACCCAGGGCGGAAAGACACTACTTTATATCAATTTCTCACAAATTTCAGTGTGCATACACACAACCTGGGGATGTTGTTAAAATGTACTTGCTGGTTCAGTCGGTATGGGTAGGGCCTGAGAGTTTCAACTTCTGAGCAAGTTCCCAAGTGATGTCTTTGATGTTGGTCCGTAGGCCACTCTTTACGGCAGGCTCAGTGGTTCTCAAAGTGTGGCCAAGAACCACCTGGGGACTTGTTAGAGATGCAAAATTCCAGGACCCTCCCCAAACTTACTAAGTCAGAAAGTGGGGGTGCGGCCCAGCAACCTATGTTTTGACAGTTTGAGTCCCACTGGCCTAGATGGCCCTTCCCAATAGACATTCATGCAAGCCACATATATTATGTAAAATTTCTAGTTGTCAGTTTTAAAAAGGAAAAAAAACAGGTAAAATGAATTATAACAAAACTTTTTTAACCCTATGTGTCTGAAATATTATCATCATTTCAACATATATCAATATACTAATTAATTTGGTAGTATACATACTTTTTCCATAGTAAGTCTTCGCAGTCCAGTGTGTTTTTTACTCTTAAATGCTATCTCGGTTGTTACTGGCCACATGCTAAATGATCAATTGCCACACGAATCCACCATATTGGACAGCCAATTCCTACACTTATAATGATAACAGCATGAACTTTTATTGAATGCCTGCTATGTATCAGCCATTACTTAGCCAAGCATCTTATGTGCCTTATTTACATAAATACTACCACAACCCTGGGGATTGGTGCTGTTATTATCCCCACGGTACACAGAGGAGGGGTGGTGCCCGAAGCCCTATGTGGTGTTTCACCAATATAATAAGCCCACTTTAATAGAAGCATTTCCCAATTATTTTTTTTAAAGCTTTTTTTTAAAAAATATATTTTATTGATTTTTTACAGAGAGGAAGGGAGAGAGATAGAGAGTCAGAAACATCGATGAGAGAGAAACATCGATCAGCCGCCTCCTGCACATCCCCCACCGGGGGGTGTGCCCGCAACCCAGGTACATGCCCTTGACCGGAATCGAACCTGGGACCTTTCAGTCTGCAGGCCGACACTCTATCCACTGAGCCAAACCGGTTTCGGCATTTCCCGATTATTTTAAATCTACTTATTTGTTAAAAAAAATAAAGTTAAAGAATACAAATCGAATCATTAAGATGACTACAATTAGTACAACTGTTAAGACATCAATAACTTATAAAAGGCATAGTAGGTGCATAAGTAGAAAAGTCCAAATTTATTATCCTCTAACCTTTTAAAATATGCCTAAGGTCCAACATGCACTTTTCTGTGACATCAAATCTGGTGAGAGGTGCTATGGACAGGCTGGTTGGTCAATGGGACCCTTGGGGAACAAAGGAGACCTTTGGTGAGTCCCGTGGCAGGATAAGATGTGTCCTAAATGGAAGCAGCTAGCAGGGTCATAATCTGTTCATTCAGGTGCAGATTCTAATACAAAATGACTCCAACTATAAAACCATGCACCGCGTAATGACATGTAGATCAACGATAGACCTCATATACAATGGTTGTCCCATAAGATGACAATGTAGCTGAAAATTTCCTATCGCCTAGTGATGTCACAGCCCTCCTAGTGTCATAGCCCCACGCTAATGTGTCTGTGGTGATGCTGGTGAAAACAAACCTCCCACCCTGCCAGTTATATAAAAGCTTAGCTCATACAATCACGTACAGTACATGATACTTGATGATAATAATAAACGACTATGTTACTGGTTTATGTGTTTACTATACTATACTTTCATCGTTGTTTTAGAGTATACTTTTTCTACTTACACACAAAACGAGCAGCATCCCACCTAGCAACTACAAAGGGGGCTGTAGGGGGTTGTGCACAATGGAAGGTTTTTATAAGAAGAGGGTGGGGCAAGGGAGCTATTTAAAAAAGAAATGATTGTTTTGGGGCCAGGACACCTTTCTTTGGGGGGACAGAGGGGAAGGGTTTTTTATCATGCAGGTTGCCTCTTCTTTCCCTGAGGGATGGAGAGGGACCACAGTGACAGGTAACCTTACTGGGGCTTGACCAGAAAATTACAGACCGGTTGATTAAGATTCCTTTTCTGGAAGAGGTTGAAATTGCAATTAGATCAGGTATTAATCTAGGTTTGTTATCATGGGCTTTTATCGGCAGTGATGCCATTTTGGGGCCTGTGGATTTTCTTTAACACCGTCAAACAGTGTGGCCTGTTACACAGGCAGCAGCCTCATACATCTCCTGTGTTTACCGCATCTCTTGATAGCATCATTTTTTTCTGGTGATTGATATCATCTCAATTTGTTTTGCACAATAACCTGCTGTACAGGTTTGTAGCCTAGGAGCAAACAGCCTAGGTGATTAGGACGCTGCTCCATCTAGGTTTGTGTTAAGTGCTCTCTGTGATGTGGGAACAAGAACTAAAGCACCTAAAGAAGCATTTCTCAGAACACATCTCCATAAGATTGTAGTTAAATGCGAGGCAATGTATTGCTGTGGGAAACAGGCAATTTGGAATTTAAAAATAACAGCTGATTTGGTAGTCAAATAGTTCATCTTTATTAGTTCCCGTAACTTCCATTTTTCTCAAGGAAGGCTGATATTTAAATGCATTTTCTTTTTATTATAAACTACTATTAGGAGGAAAAAGTAAAAACAATTTAAAATTTTCTGTCTGAGGCTAGGCTTCCATTTTTTTTTGTCAGAATTACCATTTATCATTTTGACCAAGTAATGTAAATATCCTATTTCAAACTGACAGATAACTAAGACATATTAACCTATGACCATTTAAAATAAATGAATGGGAAAAAATGCATTATTCTACAGATATTTTTAAAAACCCTGCTATATATATTTTTAAATAAAGTTAATCTTATTTTAAAATTTGATTAGATATTTCAAACTTAAGATGTCATTTTTTTAAGATGTCATTTTTTATATTTAAATATCTGCATACCTTTAATATAAGTGTATTACGTTGAAGGATTTCCTATTTTACCATGTTACTTGAAATAGCAGTCATATCTTTTTTTTTAACATAGCATGCATCATCCTCAGTATTTTCTATAATCACTTTCAGTGTCTCTCTTTAATTGCAAGGAAAGAATTGGATTTGATCTGAGTGTCTAGTAACCAACCTTCATCCTATTAATTATAAACTATCTCCTGGTGGTTTTTATACTGGACTAAGGTCATAGAATCTTTCATCTCTCAGCAGAACTCATTGACTGCTAAGCATTGTCTTCGTTATAGGGACTGGGGAGTTGAAAGGACTCAGGGTTTCATCCACCCAGAATAAAGGTTTTTATAAAAATACCTCAGTGTTTCCTTTGTAGGAAGCAACTAACTTTCCTTCTTCTTAGGGGTCTAAAAGGCAGAATGAAGCAATGGAAACCAGGAGTTGGTCTGATGATGCATAGCATTTCCCTTCAGTCATACTATAAAGAGAGCTCATCTCCAATGGCTATGGCTTGAATAGCCTCATAGTATGGGGGGAAAAAAGAAAAAAGAAACTGTTAACCAATTCTATCTTTATTCTTGCTGGATTTGTGTGCTGTAAACCATTGGAAGCAAAGACGCTATATATTTTGCCCACTCTATTCTTGAAGTGCCTGGCATATACTAGGTTAAAGAGTACTTCTCACAAATATTTGCAGAATGGATGCATGTATGCATGCAAGCATGAATACAACTTCTAGATCTTAATTTATAATTCTAGAAACAAAATAAAGACCCTAGTTTGCTGGCCATTGTTGGTGACTCAATCTGGATTATGTCTTCATTGGCCTTGGTGGGGAGAGCAGGGGGAATTGGTGTCTGTCTGCATCATGTCACTGAATGGTCCCCAGTCGCTGCCAACAGATAAGAAACGTCAACAGCTTAACCAAGTAGCTTTCAAAAATAGCATCCTTGATGAAACTGGAAATGTGGGTGCGTGCTAGAAACAAACCATTTGCCTTCCATCTGAAGAAAGTTCGGCTAACCACAGGTATACCTACCACAGAGATGGAACATTTGCTTTTAAGACCCATATGTAAATGAGCAAGAAAATATCAGATTGAAAGCCTTCCCTTTCCATAAGGCACGAACAGAAGTCTTATTTTCAATGAATCAGGCAAATCATTTTGGGGGGAAAAAAAAAACTTGGGGATTATGGCTAGGCACTCTGTTTCTTTAAGATTCCAGTCAAGGTTTTTATTTGTTTGTTTTCAAGAGCGCTGGGCAGTTTTCCCCAACATTTAAATGAATATTTGCACCGTAAACCACGTTGTTGTGGGTTTCCTGGTTGGTGTCCTCCCCCACCCCCTCCCGGGTAGGGGATGGGGGGTGTGGCGATTCCGACTAGATTTTTTCTTCCCTTAGCAAGTCCACCCGCGGCTGCTGCTAATGCTGAAAATAGCTCAAAGGCGCTCAGAACGGTAGCACCACCCAGCAGCTGCGATCCGTTCGCTCCCTTATTTGCCTTCTCTCTGGCCTTTTCCCCCCCTTCAGACACTTGGATTGGGACTTAATCTGAAATCTCTGGAGTTCAAGACCTTCTGAAAAGGGCTAAATAAACAATCTCTACATGTAAAGGCCACTGACTCCTACTTCCTCTGCGCAGAGCGACTGGGAGCCCGGCTGCCCCGAGGTAAGAGTTTTTATTCTACAAGGATTTCCTTGGTTCCTGAGACCTTTCTGGTGAATGCTTTCGAAATAAATGATTTAGAGTGAAAATAAGCGGAGGGCTGCGAACGGTCTCCAGGTAAACAGGGTGTCCCCATTACAGCAGGAGCCTCTGTGCATGGGGGGGGGGGGGCGAATTTAAACTTTGCTTCACGCTCTGTCCCCCGCCTGTGCCTGCGCTGCCCAGACCTCCCCGCCCTGACCCCACGCAGCAGCCCGCCTGGCAGGCACCACAGTGTTGGGGGTTTTTTTTAAGGAAAAAGATGCAACCGCCCGAATAAAGAAAATCTATGAGTAATTGTTCCTGAGGGACAATGAGCAAGCTCTCTTTTCTGTGGTTCTCTGGGCGATCGCCCCGCGCGCACTCCTAGCTGGCCGTGGAGCGGTTTGCTGGGCTGTTTGCTGTTTGTGTCTTCCTGGCGCGGTTGGCTGACCCGCTGGGGCTGGAGGACTCCCTCCCCGGCTGGAAGTCTTGCCGGCAGGTTTCTCGCACGTGACGATCTAATATTCTGGAGAGCTCCCCGCGCCTCCCCGCCACCCCTCCGCGTACGCGCGCTCACCGTCCTGCCAAGTACTTTGATCTGTGGACTTTAACTTCAAACACGGCGTTGGCTTTGATTGTGGGTATTGACTGCGGTCGGTGAAAAGTCTTTTTGTTCCGTGCGTCGGAATCACTTCCTTGAGGTGATCTCTTGGGCTTTGGTTCTCCCTCTGCTACGTCTTGGGTTTTACGTGCCCGGAGACCCCCTTACCTGCAGGGAAAGGCTGTCTCCCGGCCAGGCTCTCCCACCACCGAGACTGGGACGAATCCTGCCCCCCTGTCCCCCTGTT